TTAAAGAAATCCCTTTATGGATTAAAACAAGCTCCCAGAGCTTGGTATGAGAGGTTGAGCAATTTCCTTCTGAAGAAAAATTTTATCAGAGGAAAAGTGGATACAACTTTATTCTGTAAAACTGTTAAGAAAGATCTGTTATTTTGTCAAATTTATGTAGATGACATTATTTTTGGATCAACAAATATTACGCTTGGAAAGGAGTTTGCTAAATGTATGCAGGAAGAATTTGAAATGAGCATGATGGGAGAATTGAGATTCTTCTTGGGAATCCAAGTCAATCAGACTCCAGAGTGCACCTACATACATCAAACCAAATATGTTAAAGAGCTTCTGAAGAAGTTCAACATGGTTGATAGCAAAATGGCAAAGACTCCAATGCATCCTACAAGCACTCTAGGTAAGGAAGAGGTAAGTAAGAAGGTAGATCAAAAACTCTACAGAGGTATGATAGGATCTCTTCTATACTTGACTGCTTCTAGACCAGATATTCTGTTTAGTGTCTGCTTATGTGCTAGATTCCAATCAGATCCTAGAGAATCACACTTAACAGCTGTTAAGAGGATTCTAAGGTATCTGAAAGGTACTGCTAACATGGGTTTGTGTTACAAAAGATCTGATGAATTTTCATTAGTTGGATTCTATGATGCTGACTATGCTGGAGACAGAGTTGAACGTAAAAGCACTTCTGGAAGCTGTCAGTTTCTTGGAAGTCATCTGATCTCATGGTACAGCAAGAAGCAACCTACCATTGCACTATCAACTACAGAGGCAGAATACATTGATGCTGCTGGATGTTGTACTCAGATGCTCTGGATGAAGAGTCAATTAGAAGATTATCAAATCTATGAGAGTAATCTTTCTATCTTTTGTGATAATACTTCTGCTATATGTTTGTCAAAAAATCCAATCTTGCATTCTAAGGCAAAACATATAGAAATTAAACATCACTTCATCAGAGACTATGTTCAGAAGGGTGTAATTAATTTAGCTTTTGTTGATACAGATCATCAATGGGCTGATATTTTCACAAAACCCCTTGCTGAAGATAGATTTAAGTTCATTTTGAAAAATATTTGTATGGATTTTTGTCCAGAGTAATATTTATCAGAGGCAACCTCTCAGATGCAAAATGTTTAATGATCTGAAGTATTTCTTCTGTTCATTTATTCTATTCTGATTATTATTTCTGATTTGAAAATCTTAACTAACCATCTTTAGAAGATCTGAACGTGGCTAACGTTTCATTTCTTGAGAGAATTCAGAACAGCATGCAAGCAAACACGTGTCCCACAAAATCTGATGAGGTGGCGTGTGCACAACTGAAAAGACATTTGAGGTGAAATTTGAATAGTAAATTTCTTGGTTTTCCCCCCAAATCTGTCAGAAGCATTCATTATTTGAAATGATTTTATTCTCTTCATTTAATGCTGCTCAAACGTGCATTGTTTCTGTTTTTTGGTGTGCCTATGTGATTAGTATAAATACCTGTTGTGTATTCACTTTCACACTTTTCACTCTCAGAATTTATATGCATTTTCATCTTTTGTTCTCTCTTCACAAAAACTCAAAACCTAAGTGTTCTAAAAAGCATTCTTCAATGGCGTCTTCTTCATCAACAACTGCTCAGTTTCAATCAACAATGGCTGCTGTAACTTCAGATAATCTAGGTGCTGCACCATATATTCCTCCACAGAGAACTCTTCTCACACATGTTGAAAAGTTAGAAGTGTTGTGTGAATCCATGGTTGAATTTGATTCACTGGCTGACAATGGGTTTGATTTTCGCTTCATTGTTAGAGCTCAAGGTTGGGTGAAATACTTTGATAGACTGTTTGGACCAGTTTACCCTCTACTTGTTAAGGAATTCTGGATTCATGCATCTGTGTATCCAAAGTTTATTCTATCATCTGTGCTGGGAAAGGAAATCATAATCACAGAGGATCTGATTAGAAGACTGATTGGTTATGAAGAAACAGATGGTGTTTCACATCTGCCAGCTGGACGTGTTGATATGGATGAAGTTTATGAGGAGGTTATGACTGCTGGACAAGCCTCTAACAGATTCAAAGATCTGAAGCCTGACTACAAAATCTGGGCCAAGATCTTCATGGGATGCATACATCACAGAAAGTCAACAAATTCCCCAGATTATGTCAACAATGAACAGATCTATTTTATGTACTGCCTGAGTCAGAGCAACAAGGTAGATCTGCCTTACATTTTATTCATGCATCTGTGGAATCACATAAATGCATCCAGAGAATCTGTGAAAGAAAAGAACCAGAAGATCAGGAATTGGATACCTTTTGGAAGGTTGCTCTCAGATCTTCTCACTGAAAATGGTTTAGTGGCTGCTCTGTATGATGCTGGTGTTACAGAAGAACTAGAGTTCATTATGGGAAAGCCTCTGAACGCTAAGAGCCTTCTGAGACTCAAGATTGTAGATGAACTTACCACTGCTCCAAAGAAGTTAAACATGTCTGATTTGAATAAAAGGATTCCAGTATCAGACTTTCCTCTATTCTTTGCTGAAGAACCTAGACACATTGTTCTGATGTATATAGAGGAATGTAAAAGGGAAGGAGTGCCTGTTCCTGCCAATGTGTTTCAACTTGTCAAGCAACCCCTGTCAGATGCAGAAGAAGAAGAAGAAGCAGAAGTTCCACTTCAGAGGAAAAGACCTCAACCTGCAGCAGAATCTGAACCTGTCCAGAAGAAGGCTAAGATTGCTGAGAATCCCAAGGATCTTCTGAAGAGAAAAGATTCTGGAGAAGCTGTCTCTGTAAAGAGGATTAAACTCAAAGGTACTAAAGCTTCTGTTACTTCTAAAAATGTTGTTATAAATGATTCATCTATTAAGTCTGTTCCCAAACCCCCTGTCACTCAAACAACATCTGTTGCTGCCCCCAGTTCTGTATCACCTCAGAAACAACCTACTGCTTTTGTATCAAAACCACCTCAACCTAAATTACACATCAAACATTTCACTCCACGTCCATCACCATCAGTTCCATCACCAACTGTTCCACAACCAACTGTTCCACAACCAACAGAACCACAACAAACAGTCCAACAATAAACAGAACCACAACCATCAGAACTATCACAAAATTCTGATAAACAAAAATCTGCTCAACCAACAACAGAAACTCAACCAATAACTTCTGATCATCCAGAAAAACAAACCACAGAAGATCAACCACAAAAAGAATCTGTCATTCCACCATCACCTATTCCATCTTCTGAACCTGTAGCAAATGTTACTTCTGAACCCTCTAAAGTAACTTCTGCTCCTGTTTCATCTGAACCACCTACTCAAAACTCTGATACCCCTTCAGAACCATCTCATATCCCTGAGACAGAAGTTCTTGATATCACTCCATTAAAAACAGTGTTTCAAGTTTCTTCTACCTCTTGTACACCTGAAACATCTTCAATTCATCTGAATCAGAAATTCACCCTGATTTTATGATTAATCCATCTGACAAATACCCTGTTCATGACCCTGAACCTGAATCAACCTTAACTACCAAAACTACCATTCCAGAATCTATGCCTCCACCTGCATCTTCATCTGAGATGATTGTTCCTTCTTCCAATCCATCATCATCTGGAATATCTTGTGCTCAAGTGTCTTCTCTTTATCATAACTTATCTTATGGTTTCAAACTGAAAGATTTTTATGATAGAGTTGAGCCTTCTGAACCCTTGACACCTCTGAAACCTAAACTCAAACCAACCCTTCCATCTGTAATCCTTTCATATATTAAATCTATGGAAAATGAAGGATCCTTAGCCCCCATATCTGCTACATCTGGTAAAGCTGTTGTTTCAGCTCTGCATCCTGCATCTGACAACACAGTTGCATCTGATAAACCATCAAACTCTGCTTCTCTCCGTCTCATAATAAATGATTTAGTGGACAATTTCACACATATTAAAAAAAGTGTAATAATTAAAGAGAGAGAGAGAATGAGGTTTTTACTAAAGTATCATTTATCATGTATTGGGAGTAGGGGTGAAAAAACAGGTCGTGACCCGCGCACCAACTAAAAAATGACAAGTTGGATAGAAATTTTGGTCCCGCCACCCACCAAAATCCGCCCCGCTAAAGACCGCCACCACCAAACCCTGCCCCGCAAAAACCCGCCGCCTGCGAAAGCCCGCCACACCTATTCGTTCAACTTGTCACACCTTAAACCTGCCATTTTTTAGTTAATTCTAATAATTTCAATTCTTGATAGTTTTATTTTATACATTTATTTAAGAATATATGCAATATTTTTTAAAGTAAAATTTGTTTAAAAGATGTTTTATAAAAATTATTCTAAAAAATAAGTGAAAAATCTTATAGAAATTTAAAAATAAGCTTATTAATCTAATAAAAAAAAAATAAACGGACAAGTCCACCGTCCGCCAACCCGCCACATTGGCGGATAAGTTAGATTTTTATGTCAATTTTTACTTGACGAACTTGTTCGTTCCGTCTTTTTTTTCCGAGCTTAAGACGGAGTGAGACAGACGATCCATTTTGACACTTCTAATTGGGAGTAATGAAAGTCATGATAATTAAAGAGTACAAATAAAAAAATGAAATTAATTTGCATTGAAAATTAAAATGAATAATTCATTTTAGAATACTTTATTATTCCAAATAGATCAAATACACATTTTTTTAATAGTTTCTTTAATAATTTATTTGCACCTCGAAATACATGCTTGTACATAAGTAAATACACCACTCGCATGATAGGATACTGGTGTCAAATTTAGTGTCTGCATTCCGGAAAGAGGACAGAAAAAAGAAGCAAACAGAAGAACGCGTTTAAATAAAGTAAGAAAATAGATCGTGTCGATGCGAGAGTGATCCTCATCATCGTTCACAACACACCCGTCTTTCCCTTTCGCATTTTCTTTTCATTTTCGTCTCTTCATCTCCTCCATTCTTCTACTCTCAAATCTATATATTTATACCCTTCCACTTCCACAACTCAGCTATGACCGGCGGCAAAGAAATCCTCCATAAGATGAAGGTATATCCTTTTCATTCAATTTCTACATCTTTATACTATTTTTCTTTGATACTTTTGGTTTTTCAGCATGAGAAACAATAGATATTTTACCGAGAATTCAAAGAAAATTTTGTATCTCCTGGTCAATGGACGTAGGTTTTAAGAGGATTAGTTTTGCCATCTAAAAAAGGCAAGGGTAGTGGTGCATTTTGTTGTCAGATTAAGTTTATTATATATGAAAAGATAGATCTGTTGGTCATTTGCCATCACAATTCCACTATTCAGTCATTCAGGTCATGCTCCAAATGTCGACGTGAGGAGTGGGTTATGAGTTCCACATTTGATAAGAGATGATCAGAATATACCTTTATAAGTAAGGGTAATCTTCATTTTATAAGTCGGTTTTCTAAGAAAGATTAATTTTTAATATAAAAATTTAATATCATATTAAAGTCTATCTTTCATGTTTTCATCTTGAGTTTTCATATTGAGTATGTTACTGCAGGAAAAAGTTTTGGGACCATCTGATCCAGACTCAGGGAAAGGAAAGAGCAAGATGTCAAAGCATGTAACTCATGGCTTTCACTTGGTAAAGGGAAGATCAAATCATCCCATGGAAGACTACGTGGTTGCTGAATTCAGACATGTTGATGACAATGAGTTGGGTTTATTTGCAATATTTGATGGTCACGCAGGTCACACTGTCCCTGATTACTTGCGTTCTCATTTGTTCGATAATATCATAAATGAGGTAATGAGGATTCCTGTTTTTCTCATTACTCAATGCTTGCTTGTTTTTCCGGAATCAAAACTAATCTTTCTAGCTTATAAGAAATCAAACGCACCCTTAGTAAATTGTTTTTGACTTGAGTCTTTCGTTTTATCAACATTCTTTTGGAGGCGTTGGCTTTTAGATATCATGTATGTCTATAACTCTTGTTTTGTAATGTAGTCTGATTTTTGGACTGATCCTGCGGATAGTGTGAAGAGAGCCTATAGCGAAACTGATTCAACTATTTTAGAGAAATCAGTTGAATTGGGCAGAGGAGGTTCAACTGCAGTTACAGCAATACTGATCAACTGTCAGAAGCTAGTAGTGGCTAATATTGGTGATTCTCGGGCTGTCTTAAGCGAGAATGGAGTTGCTATACCACTGTCAGTGGATCATGAACCAACAACAGAAAGCGATGCTATTAAAAATAGAGGTGGTTTTGTATCTAACTTCCCAGGTATAAAATGTCATGTTTTTCAGAAATAGTTGGAATCATATATCATTTAAATTAATTGCCAAATGCCCATCAATTATTTAACTCAACTGGGCTTTTCCAAGTTCTTAGTTCAAACTCCCCACTGCCCGGCCATGCCAGTTTAGTGTCATGCGATTGAATCTGCATCAATGCATCATAGTTTTCTTAATTCCTAAAACATTTGCTTGTGGCTAAAGATACAATTTATTATTAAGGATACTAATTTTGTTATCAATTCAGGGGATGTTGCACGTGTTGATGGGCAGTTAGCAGTGTCTAGGGCATTTGGCGACAAAAGTCTTAAGATACACATGACCTCAGAGCCACATGTCACGGTGAAGATGATAGATGATGGTGGAGAGTTTGTTATATTAGCCAGTGATGGGTTATGGAAGGTAAATGCTTTGATAAAATGATGAAGCATTGCATTTCACACACTTTATTAATAGTTTTCTTCCTCCTTCCCACAAGTATACATGTTTGGTTTCACGTTCATGTCTGCTATTATTACAGGTCATGTCAAATCAAGAAGCAGTTGATGCTATCAAAGATATCAAGGATGCTCGGTCTGCAGCAAAGCGCCTTACTGAAGAAGCGCTTAACAGGAGAAGCTCAGATGATATCTCTTGCATTGTTGTGAGGTTTCACTGATATATGCAAAATATACATTTGTAGAGATTTTATCTACAAACTTGTGTATATATAGATAAATGTTGGTATCCATTGAGGTGTTATTCTGCTCAAGCATAAGTGTCTGATCTCCTTTTGAACTGCTTTTATCCAAACCAAGTTAGATAGTCTGTTGTTTGATGTAACAATTCTAGAAATATTGTATTTGGATTTGTTAAATGCCAAGGTAATTTATATGAATATGCAGGAGTTTAATCAAAAAAGTACATTTGCCAATTACTGTCTAGCCATTTAAATTTTAAACTATGAAACACAAATATCGGAAACACGATGTCAGTGTCGGTAATAATTTAAAAAGTGGATAAATTAAACAATTACAAGTATCGGTTACCGACACCTTTCGATTCTCCAGTGCTAAAGGATACTTCCAGGATGAAGCTGGGAATGACCCTTGCCAACATCCCTTGGTCAATAGGATGGAAGACTTATTAGGGTAGGGAGAATTCTCAAAATTCAAGTGTACTTATATTATTCATTACTTAGGTTAGGCTCTCACATTAACTTTTTGTAGCATATTTTGTACATATTTATGACAAAATGAACAAAAAAAAGTATTTCTATGCCCAAACTATAACAGTCGAGGTGGAGTGTCTTAAAAGTATGTCATGGAGTTTCAAATGGAATCTAGCACCTAATGTGACAGTTTCTGTATTATATGGCTTGAAAAGAAGTGTAGAAACTATATATAAATTAAATGGATAAGCGAATTGACCCAAAAGAAGCAATAGTTTTTTATTCTATTGAAGTCTAAAGTAGAGTTACAGCATTCCATGTTGCATTAATAGGGATGCTTACTTATGATAAAGACAAACAGAAACAAAAGGCATTCACTCATGACATATAGATGTTGGAACATTTTGGTGGGTAGATTAGGTTCTTGTTTTGGTGAACATACTAATGGTTCTTTATTATATGCTTTGGACTGTAAGAAACCAACCAGAAGGTGACAGAAGAGAGAGAGCTGGCTGAACTCAACACTTTAGCTTCACCTGATATTGAATGATTTGTAGCCAGAACTTCCTGGTAAGTTCATCTGAAACCTACACTGTGTTTCCTTAGGTTGATGTTGTCCTTTGCTGTGGCTGCTGCCCTCACTCGCAGCTTCTGGGTTGGTTTTCCGGCGCCGCTCATTGTGTCCAGCCAATCGCCTGCGGCAGCTTCTTTTTGATTCATCAAACTCTACCAAGTCATGGAACCTGCACAACATGACTTATCATTGATTTTAAAAAAAAAATAGTGCTCCAAAGCTAGTTTGAATTGTACTACTAAAATCAACATGTTCCGATATTATATTACAATTAGAGTTTGATCTAACTCATTTTTACTAAACCAGTTTGTAAGGTGAGGATTGTCAATGTATATAAGAAAAAATGGTGTAGATTGAGTATTGAAAACCTGCTACATTGTTGGCAAAACCTCTGCCTCAGCCCTGCAACTATCACAACAGGTGCCTTGGAATGAAATTCACACACCTTATGGCGGCGATGGTATCTCTTTGCATCTGTCAAATCAGCTCCACACCTCTCTGCCTGGCAGGAAGGTGGAGAAACACCTCCACCACCTCCTCTTCTCCCACCACTAACCCCTTTCTTCTTCTCTTCTTCAGTCAGACTGACATCTCCATCCTCCTCTTCTACTTCATTTTCTGCTTCTTCTTCCACTGTGTTGTTCCTTCTCACCTTTTCCATCATCATTGTTCTCTTCCTTTCAATACTCCTAGCTTCCAT